ATTCTCTGAAGTAGGGTCTAAGAAATGTTCTGATCCTCAGTCTTCTTCGTACTTTCTTGATGATGGTCTGCTTGGTCGGAAAGTGGTGTTGCATGAAGATGTTTCTCTAGAACCTAAAATTCAGATTGTGGTTCCTTTTACGATGAGGGAATCCATGTTGCATTTAGCTCATCAAGGACTTGCTGGTCATACCGGAGTTCGTAAAACGTACGATCGAGTCTTACGACAGTTCTATTGGCCGAAGGTGAAACGAGATGTGGCAAAACATATTCGATCTTGTCATACATGCCAGATCACCGGTAAGCCAAATCAAAAGTTACCTGTTGCTCCGTTGCAACCTATTTCCGTCGGTTCCACTCCTTTTGAGTATTTGATAGTTGACTGTGTGGTCCTTTGCCTCGGTCCAAGACTGGTCACCAATACCTTTTAACCATTATGTGTCAGACTACTCGTTATCCGGCTGCTTATCCGTTAAGGTCCATTACTACTAAATCTGTCTTGAAGGCTCTCACTAATTTCATGTCGACCTTTGGAATTCCTAAAGTCATTCAATCTGATCAGGGTTCGAACTTTGTCAAAACAGTTCTCAAAAGCCCTGCGTCAACTTCGAGTGAAACACAATATTTCTAGTGCTTATCATCCACAGAGTCAAGGAGTTCTTGAAAGGTTTCATCAAACCCTGAAGTCCCTTTTGAGGTCCTATTGTGTGGAACTCGATGTAGATTGGGAAGAAGGTCTGCCATGGATGTTGTTAGCGATCCGTGAGGTAATCCAAGAAAGTCTTGGGTTTAGCCCAAATGAATTAGTGTTCGGACATGTAGTGCGAGGACCTACAACTGTGTTAGCTGAGGAGTGGCGAATGTCTAAACCTTCTGGAAATATTTCAGATTATGTTAGTGGATTCCGGCGTAGATTATATGAGGCACGAGCTCTTGCTAAAAAGAAATTGAGTAAGTCTCAAATAAAAATGCAACAACGCTTTGACAAGAAAGCTAAATTAAGAGAATTTCAGGTGGGTGAACAAGTATTGGCTTTATTGTCTCTACCTGCAAATCCATTTCAGGCTAAATTTACAGGCCCTTACAAGATAGTTAAACGTCTTTCTGATAATAACTATCTGTTGAATACTCCTGATCGGAGGAAGAAGGTACAAGTATGTCACAGTAATCTGTTGAAATTGTACATAGCTCCTGTTCGTCCCGTTACTGTTAATGTGGTAAACTCTTGTGATTCTTTTCCAGAATTGTCATCTTCCTTTCGTAGCCCGAGTAAGGATTCTTTGGAGAATGCTGATGAGGATGAGAGTTTTCTTTCTCGAGAAAAAGTCGACGGGCGACTTAAGAACTCTGAGATTCTTCTTAATCTGTCCTCTCATCTTTCTTATCTGACAGAGAAGGAGAGGAGTGATGTCACTGAGTTGGTGATGTCATTTCCCTCTCTTTTCCGTGATGTTCCGGGTCGTACTTCTATCATAGAACATGATATCGACGTAGGAGCCTCGTGTCCTGTTAAACAGAACGCATATCGAGTCAATCCTTTTAAAAGAGATTTGCTGAAACAAGAGGTGAACTATCTACTTGCTCATGATCTGGCTGAATGTAGTTTCAGTTCATGGAGTTCCCCTTGTGTTCTGGTAAATAAATCTGATGGCTCATATCGATTCTGCACAGATTATCGAAAACTTAATTCTGTTACTAAGCCGGATTGCTTCCCTTTGCCTCGAGTTGATGACTGCATCGATCATGTTGGCTCTGCCCGATATGTTAGTAAGTTCGATCTCCTAAAGGGATATTGGCAGGTGCCGCTGACTTGTCGAGCGAAGGAATTATCCGCCTTCGTCACACCTGATGCTTTCCTGCAGTATACGGTTATGCCTTTCGGAGTGCGAAATGCACCCGCGACGTTCCAGCGTCTCGTAAATCGTATACTGTATGGAATGTCAGGATGTGAGGCATATCTTGACGACGTGGTGTTGTATAATTCCTCCTGGTCTGAACATCTTAACCAGATTAAGGAATTGTTTTCTCGTTTAGCAAAGGCTAATCTTACCATGAACCTCGCTAAATCGGAATTCGCGAAGGCAACCGTTACCTACTTAGGTAAAGTCGTGGGAAACGGTTGTGTAAAGCCTATTGAGACCAAGGTTGAAGCCATTTGTGACTTTCCCGTACCCACCACTCGTCGTGAATTGCGACGGTTTCTCGGTATGGTGGGATATTACCGGGGCTTCTGTGAAAATTTTGCCAGTGTGGTCTCCCCTCTTACTGATTTATTGAGTCCAAAGTTGACTTTTCAGTGGTCTGAGCTCTGTCAACAAGCTTTTGGTAATTGTAAAGCATTGTTGGCGTGTGCCCCTGTTTTAACAGCCCCGGATTTTGAGAAATCTTTTAGCCTTGCAATCGATGCAAGTGCTTGTGGTGCGGGTGCTGTCCTCTTACAGGAGGATTCGAACAAGGTTCTACATCCTGTAAGTTACTTTTCAAAAAAGTTTAATCGACATCAACAGGTATACTCGACCATTGAGAAGGAAGCTCTCGCCCTAGTGTTGGCCGTGCAACATTTTGAGGTATACCTAGGGTCCATCGCTGCACCGATTATCATCTATACGGATCATAATCCGTTGGTTTTCTTGAATCGAATGAGAAATCGAAATCAGCGACTTATGCGATGGAGTCTCATTTTACAACCTTTCCACCTTGAGATTCAACACATTCGAGGAAAAGATAATGTCATAGCTGACACACTTTCCAGAGCATAACCTAACCTCTGCGTTGTCCATTTTCTTTTCTTTGCATCTCTAGGGCCCAGAGGTGCTGGAGAATGAAGAGAAGACGACGTCCAGAATGTCATTGCGCTTGTTTTGGGTTGTGCCTAATTGTTTTCTCTTGTTTTTGATTTTTAGATTCGTGGCCGAATCTTTTTCTTTTGGAGGGAGGTGTTACGACCCTGTGTTCTGCTTGCTCGCCTGCTGGTGGCGGTGTTGCTCTGAGAGAGCGTGGGAGATCGCACACACCTGCTTCCTGATTATCTTTGATTATGAAGAGGATAAAACATTGGATTGAACATCTCATCTTCACTTCGTCCAGGGGATTGACAGCCTCTGGCGAAGTCATTCGAACCTTTGATTTACAGCCCATACCAACCTTCTTTTACTCCCCAACCGGATTATGATTTTTACCCTTTTGTTTTGAAACCCTAGACTTTGTTATATTCAGTTTATTGTGATTTTTGAGGACGAATAAAATCTTGCAAGTCATTTTTGGTGTACTTGTTTACTTTATGTACGGCCGAAACGAGCTGGCCGTAACAATCCCGAGGTTTACTGCAGTCCGCCGGATCCAGATCTGATGAAGGACCTGCGTCTGGACACACTCTCTCTCACACACTCTCACACACACACACACACACACACACACACACACACACACACACACACACACACACACACTCCAGATCTGATGAAGGACCTGCGTCTGGACACACTCTCTCTCACACACACTCTCACTCACACACACACACACACACACACACACACACTCATGATCTGAAGAAGGCCCAGCGTCTGGACGCGACGACACCGCAGGCCTGAAGTGTCTCTCCCTGTGAAGGCCTCCTCCGTCTCCTCTGTACAGATAATCGCTGTCGGGATAATGCCGGTTCGCCGAAGCGATAAATTCTGTATTATAGATTGTAAGGCCAGACAAGTCGTTTGTTGAGGGTTGTGTTTTAGGGAAGGACTGCACGCCTGCGCACACATATTCAAACACACACCTGTGGACTGGCTCTTAATGCGCGTGAAATGGGAAATGAGTTTGACTAACCCTTGTATTGTACAACAGACAAATTCAATTAAGCAGAATAACGTTTTAAATGTTTGATGTTTACAAAAGTGTAGAAATATTGTGTGTTTTGTAGTGGGACCGATGCTGCTAACTTTAACTGTTTTTTAGTAGTAAACTTAATTCCTTTTAGGAACTACAGAACTACAGGTCCTAGCCATAGAACCATAATAATGATTTATTTAGATATGCCACTAGAATGAGCTTATTAAATTAATTTGCTGAATTCGTTTATTTAATTGATAACTTATTTTTGTATATAACGATACATAGGCTATATTGCACTATGTTGTATTAAAATCCAAACACACTATTACTCAAAGCACTAACAACAGGAGCTTTACACAATGATTGGTGGTGTTAGAGTTTGAGTGAGAAATTATTTTTTGTAAAGATGTCGTCACTGCATGTGTTTTGATGCTCAGCGGGTCTCTGAGCGTAGAGAAATTAGTTCTACTGTAAACTTATAATAAACAGAGCGATATCGTCCGCTAATGTGAATGTGATAATAGTTATGTTTATAATAGTTATTATCGGTACAGTTCTCGTTTAGTCTTTTGTGTTTGACGTCACGCCTGCAGCACAGCTGAGCCACGCCCACTCTCTGTTTGCGTTGCCATGGTAACCTGACGCGGCTGGTCGAGCTCGTGCTGGAATCAGAGAAACTGCAGGAAAGCTCTTCGGTGTGTGTATCGCGGTTTGGTGAGTTTAAGAGTCTCAAACTCAGTCAATCATTATCAGAGATATCTATCTGTGTGTGTCTGTATAGTTTGGGGACTGACATGTAAGTTAAATATGACCAGCTCTGTTGCGGCTTTGTTTACACTCACTATAACCAGCTAATATAATTGTCTGTGTGTGTCTGTGTGTACCTATTTAAACATATTTTGGGGACCCATTTCTGCACAGAAGCGAGAGCTAAACCTGACAAAAACTCCCTTTGGGTTCCGCTCTTACTGTAAAAACGGTATAAAATAAAGTATTTTTTTTAAATGTAACATTACAAATGCAGAGTTTTGTTGCTTTCTTGCTCGTGCGTGTGTGTGTGTGTGTGTGTGTGTGTGTGTGTGTGTGTGTGTGTGTGTATGTGTGTGCGTGTGCGTGTGCGTGTGTGCGTGCGTGCGTGTGTGTGTGTGTGTGTGTGTGTGTGTGTGTGTCGCAGGTGTCATGAGTGTTCCAGGCTCCAGCTGCGTGTCGGTTCCTGTGGATCATCTGGATTACAGCTTCATCCAGAGCTGCTCAGACCTCAAATATCTGGAGAGGATCCTGAGAGTTCTGCGGTGAGACCCTCTGACTCTGTCTCACTCTCTGTCTGTCTGTCTACCTGTCTGTCTCACTCTCTGTCTGTCTGTCTGCCTGTCTGTCTGTCTCACTCTCTGTCTGTCTGCCTGTCTATTTGCTTGTCTGTCTCACTCTCTGTCTGTCTGTCTGTCTGTCTGTCTGTCTGTCTGTCTGTCTGTCTGTCTGTCTGCCTGTCTGTCTGTCTGTCTGTCTATTTGCCTGTCTGTCTCACTCTCTGTCTGTCTGTCTGACTGCCTGTCTGTCTCACTCTCTGTCTGTCTTTCTGTCTGTCTGCCTGTCTGTCTGTCTGTCTGCCTGTCTATTTGCTTGTCTGTCTCACTCTCTGTCTGCCTGTCTATTTGCCTATCTGTCTCACTCTCTGTCTGTCTGTCTGACTGCCTGTCTGTCTCACTCTCTGTCTGTCTTTCTGTCTGTCTGTCTGTCTGTCTGCCTGTCTATTTGCTTGTCTGTCTCACTCTCTGTCTGTCTGTCTGTCTGTCTGCCTGTCTGTCTGTCTGTCTGTCTGCCTGTCTATTTGCCTGTCTGTCTCACTCTCTGTCTGTCTGTCTTTCTGTCTGCCTGTCTATTTCCCTGTCTGTCTCACTCTCTGTCTGTCTGTCTGACTGCCTGTCTGTCTCACTCTCTGTCTGTCTGTCTTTCTGTCTGTCTGCCTGTCAAGTCACATTTATTTATATAGCGCTTTTCACAATACAGATTGCATCAAAGCAGCTTCACAGTGATAACATGAAAGTAGTACAACACAGTTCAATAATATTGTTGAATATTAAATATCCCCAACTAAGCAAGCCAAAAGCAAGGCGACAGTGGCAAGGAACCAAAACTCCATCAGATTGGATGGAGAAAAAAACCTTGGGAGAACCCAGGCTAGTCAGGGGCCAGTTCTCCTCTGGCTAACAATCATAGGGTTTTAAAGAAGCTTTACAGTAAGTCCATATCAGAGAGTACCTGGAAAAAATACATTTAGTTAATCATGTAATATTTAGGGGATAACATATCGCCGGCGTTGAGTCGTCTCTTCGCAGGCGTTGAGTCGTCTCTTCACAGGCGTTGGCCTTCTCATCACAGGCGTTGGGGCATCCGAAATCCCCGTGAGAGGCAGGATACCAAACTGGAGCCTACGAACGCCATTTTTCTCGGGACAAGCGTCCCGAGATAACAGCAGAAAGGCAGATGGGAAATAATTAGCATAGCTGATGTTCATAATGATTTCCATTACACGGGAGTAGGTGTTAGAAAACCATAATCTCACAACTCTCCGTAACCTAAACTCTCCGCAACCCAACCGCAACCATACGGACCGACCCGTTTGTCTATAAGGCTGTCGAGCCCCACTGGTGCGTTAAGCAGTTTCAGTGGCAAACGGTTCCGTATGGCATAGCAGAGGACTAAAAGGTAAGCATTATGTGAATGCTTGACTAAAGAGACACGTCTTTAGTCTAGTTTTAAACTGTGTCAGCGAGTCAGAGCATCGGACCGTATCGGGAAGGCTATTCCAGAGTTTTGGAGCTAAATGCGAGAATGCCCTCCCTCCTTTCGTGGACTTCGATATCCTAGGAATGACCAGAAGCCTTGAATTTAGTGATCTTAGAGAACGCGGTGGATTGTAGGGCGAAAGAAGGTCCGTTAAGTACATAGGAGCTAAACCATTAAGGGCTTTATAGGTCAGTAGTAGTACTTTGTAATTGATACGGAACTTAATAGGTAACCAGTGCAGAGATGATAAAATCGGTGTTATATGATCATATTTTCTTGATCTAGTAAGAACTCTAGCGGCTGCATTTTGCACTAACTGTAGCTTGTTTATTGAGGATGCAGGACAACCGGCTAATAAAGCATTACAATAATCTAGTCTCGAGGTCATGAATGCATGAACTAACTTTTCTGCATCAGAAACAGATAGCATGTTACGTAATTTAGCAATGTTTCTAAGGTGGAAAAAGGCTGTTCTTGTAACAGATGAAATATGATTTTCGAAAGACAAGTTGCGGTCTAGTATAACACCCAGGTCTTTTACTGTAGTGGAAAAAGTAACAGGGCATCCTTCTATATTAAAGTCGTATTGTAAGAGGTTTTGTGTGTAGTTTTTTGGACCAATAAGTAATACCTCCGTTTTATCTGAATTTAATAGCAGGAAATTACGCGTCATCCAGCATTTTATATCTTTGAGACATTCTGTCAATTTAGATGAGGTAATGTTTTCATCTGGTCGTGATGAAATATATAATTGAGTGTCGTCAGCATAACAGTGGAAATTAATTCCATGTTTTCTTATAATATTACCAAGTGGCAGCATATATATTGAGAATAGCAGAGGGCCTAGCACCGATCCTTGCGGTACTCCGTAGTCTACTGACGTTAACTTTGATTTTCCCCCGTGTAAAGAGACAAAATGATAACGGTCAGATAAGTACGATCTAAACCAGCTTAATGCCTGTCCCTGAACACCAGTGTAGTTTTGTAGTCGATCCAAGAGTATTTTATGATCTATAGTGTCGAACGCGGCGCTAAGATCAAGTAGGACTAGTATTGAGATACAGCCTTGGTCAGAAGCTAAGAGTAGATCATTTGTAATTTTAACTAGCGCAGTTTCTGTACTATGATGCGGTCTGAATCCTGACTGGAATTTTTCATAGATATCATTTTCTTGCAAAAAAGAGCACAGTTGAGCGGATACAACTTTTTCTAGTATTTTGGACATAAATGGAAGATTTGAAATGGGTCTGTAATTTGCTAGGTTATTTGGATCTAGTTGCGGTTTCTTAATGAGAGGTTTTATTACTGCCAACTTGAATATTCTTGGAACATGACCTAAGAATAAAGACGAGTTAATAATATTAAGAAGAGGCTCTTCCACTACAGGTAACACTTCTTTCAGTAGTTTAGTGGGTAGTTTAGTGCCTGTCTGTCTGTCTGTCTGTCTGACTGCCTGTCTGTCTCACTCTCTGTCTGTCTGTCTGTCTGTCTGCCTGTCTGTCTGTCTGTCTCATTCTCTGTCTGTCTGTCTCATTCTCTGTCTGTCTGCCTGTCTGTCTGTCTGTCTGTCTCATTCTCTGTCTGTCTGTCTGCCTGTCTGTCTGTCTGTCTGCCTGTCTGTCTCACTCTCTGTCTGTCTGTCTGTCTGCCTGTCTGTCTGTCTGTCTGTCTGACTGCCTGTCTGTCTCACTCTCTGTCTGTCTTTCTGTCTGTCTGCCTATCTATTTGCTTGTCTGTCTCACTCTCTGTCTGTCTGTCTGTCTGCCTGTCTGTCTGTCTGTCTCATTCTCTGTCTGTCTGTCTCATTCTCTGTCTGTCTGTCTCATTCTTTGTCTGTCTGTCTGTCTGACTGCCTGTCTGTCTCACTCTCTTGTCTGTCTTTCTGTCTGTCTGCCTGTTTATTTGCTTGTCTGTCTCATTCTCTGTCTGTCTGTCTGTCTGTCTGTCTCATTCTCTGTCTGTCTGTCTGTCTCATTCTCTGTCTGTCTGTCTGCCTGTCCGTCTCACTCTCTGTCTGCCTGTCTGTCTGTCTGTCTGTCTCACTCTCTGTCTGTCTGTCTGCACTCACATGTGCTGCTGGTGTTCCTCAGGTCTGGGCTGGAGGGGTTTTTCCCTCATCTGATTGAGTTCTGTGAGAGACACATAGAGAAACTGGACCCAAAGTGTCGAGTCCTGAGGAAGGAGAATCGCGCCGCTGCCGGTGTCTCCACAGAGGAATGGAGGAACATCTCTGAAGACCTGCAGGTTAAACCCACTAAACCCCAACATTACAGAACATTAGACCCTCACAGATCAACTCTATATTCATTTAGTTCAAAAATACTCTAAGCATGCTGGGAACTACAAATCTGTTGTAAGATTCAATAGAGTTCTGATTCATATAATCAGTTATTGAGTTCACGTAACTTTTATCTATTAAGTGCAATGAACAATGAGCCATATTTGAATGTAATGAACTCATTTCATTTAGTACATTTGACTGTTTGATTCTTTAGCACACGCTGTAGAACATTTTAAGGGGTATTATGTAAACATCCTTTAAACAAGAACATTTATCTGAAAAGGAAAATCTAAAAAAACTATTAAGACTTGTTTTGTTTTGTGGAAAATGTTGTGCTATCACAACACCCTTTAACACAGCTGTGGGAGAGAAGCATCAGGTCAGATGAAGCGGAGCTGGAGCGGAGCCCCATATCCAGGGACGCTGAGACCCTTCCTCCAGTTCGTTCCTCACACGGCCTCTTCAGGTACAGCTTCACACAGCAAATCCCTAGTGTTAAATTAACACTGATGAGAGTGTTAAAGTGTAAATTGCAGGTTAACCACCACAACCAATTAATGTGTAAATTAAAGTGCTCAATGTGTATATATGTACAAATTTCTGTCTTAAAATGCGTTAGAATAACATTTATTGGGGTTTCTTCAAAGGTAGCATGTTTTTACCGTAACTGGGTGATGACGTCATAACAGGGAGCGCGGGCGGTGATGCACTCACTCTGTGTGCGCGGGTGAGGGAGAATAAAACGATTCGAGGGACTCCCGCAAACTAGAAATATCTATGAATAAAACATAAAAACGAATACATTTTTATTCATCTGTTGCAGAAAAGCAATAAGAACAACTAAAACAAAATAGAAACGGTTTACAGGCAGAGTTTCTATTTCTAACATGTTTGCAGCGTTGAGCGATGTAGCCAATCACAGACATATGTGTTGATTTCTTAAACGCAATAACGGCCAATCAGAAGCATTTACGATGGACTCCCCTCACCGCTCAAAACGGACTTTTTGTTCAGTGCTGAATTCTGTATGCTGGCAAATCCTCTAATTATAACAAACATAGTGTATATATTATGAAAGATTCATTGATAATAACAGATGTGTGAGATCGCGATGAACTGATGTCAGCTTTTTGGGAATTATTAAGGGAGCGCACTCTTCGAGCAGTCATGCCAGACCCTGCACGCAGGAGCCCGCTTGCTTATGTTATAACAGTGATCAGGAGCATGTGCTGGTGTGGATGGTGGCGACACGTAGGCTAACTTGAAAGTATTTGGAGGTACAGAAAAAAAAAAGTCTTTTTGCGGGCGGGAGCGGGACAAAACATAAATGTTGCGGGCGGGAGAAAGTAATATAGAAAGTAGTTGAGAACGTCAGTTTTAACGACCCACGTATTAAAAAATAGTCGGGTTTAAACCGGGCTCATAATTACAGTTAATGTGTCGGGCCGGGCCGGGCTCGGACACAGCGGGCTCGGGTAGGGTCTTGCTTGATTTTTTTGGGCCCGATCTAAGCTCTACCTCGGGTAAGTTATGCTAACACTTACAGGCACGAATCAGCCGTTTGTCCTTGGGGAACTTGTGGAGCCTCTCACCCGTTTTTGATGTATTCGTACATCCCGCACAAACACAATAGTTAACCATTTTTGCTAGCTAGGTCTCCAATATAACGTAACTCCAGGCCTAGAGCATAGACAGTAGGTTGGAGTCCCTTTTATGACGTCACGCCCAGCCTAGTGGAAGGGAGGGGGCGTGCTTAAAACCACTGTAAAACGCACCAACTTTTCATATTATATTCAGCATTTTGGTATAAAAACATAAAAAAAACAATGCTGGGCGGTTCTTATCTTTATGTTTAGTAAGCACATTGCATTATCTTCGTGAAAATTTTTACCTGCAATTTACACTTTAAATGAACACTGAAGCAGTGTTAAAGTTAATGAGTTCATTGAGTGAATAATTCAGTGATGACTGAGCATTATTGAAGACACCTGATGTTAACAAGCCTGTCAAATGTCAAAGCCTGACACAGCACATATCAAAGTATGTTTGTTCTTCTCTGTTTCAGCTCTGCATAGAGGTGCATTCTGGGTAGTTGCTGTGTCATTGGCTGTGCTGCTTCTTCAGTTCATCACTAATCAAAATCATCTTATTTTATCTTTTTTAACCACCACTACAATGTTTCTTTATATACCCTCTAGTCATGGAAAAAGCACATATTGTAGGACAACATACTTCATACTTTTACTGTCATTCACAAATTTAGAGATTGCATCAAGAAACACATCAACACCTCTTCAAATCTTTTCATTTTAACCAACTATAACAACATTATGTAATTTCATAAAATGATACCTTTTATTAACAATAAAGAAATCAGTAGTTCAGTAAAGAATGACAATTCTGGCATTTATTCACCCTCATGTTTTTCCAAACCCATATGAAGGAATACAAATGAAGAGGTTTATCAGAATGTTTACGCTGCTCTTTTTCATATGATATAATGAAAGCAGAAAGCGGGCTGTTGAGCTCCAAAATGGACCAAAACAAAAATTCACCATAAAGTACCATAAATATAGTCCATAAGACTACGATCCTAGGGTAGGATTTGTATGACAAACAGAACAACATTTAGGCCACTTCCATTAATGAGAATCAGTTTCAATAATTTTTTTAAAGCAGTGTAAATGTAAGAAATCAATATTTGTGTTATTGATTTATTTGTTTCTTAAATACTGATGTGTGCGAATAATTCAGTTATTTGTCTGTCATGTTATTGATTCAATAAAAGTTTTAGTTAAAGTACTCTGAAGGTACTCTGTGTTCAGTGTAATCCAGTTGCTTTTGTCAGAGATCGGAGAGAGGAGCCAAACGCAAGAGGTGCTGGATAACAGAAGAACTGAGGCAGTCTGCCGTTCACAGGAGAAAATAAGGACTTGATTGTGGACGCAGAACTGGAGGTGAAATCAGGAATAGCGTTCTGGAAACTCAGGAGTAGTCCTTAGTCCTGGAAAGAGGTCTCACACTAGAAGCAGAGAGGTAATGGCGAGCGCACAGCCCCAGTCGATGCCCACAGCACCACGAGCGAGAGGACAGCAGGGCACTCGACAGAAATCAGCTGAGACCAACACAAGACAGACACGACGAAAATAATGACTCGCTGCATATATCAGGGTAGAAGAGAAACACCTCCACGAGCCTGAAGCGGCTAGCAATAATCTGGCAAAGAAGCTTCTTCTTCTTTCTTTTAATGGCGGTTGACAAACAACTTTTAAGTGTGCATTACCGCCACCTTCTGATATGGAGTGTGGATCAGAGCCTAAGTCCCTCCCCTTCCGGTCGAACGCCATGGGACCCTATTTCGGAAAAATATTGTATGGTAGTCAATGGCGAGAGACAACAAATATTTTGATCTCGTTTGAATTGTGCCCTGAATTACACATATGATGTTTGTCAATTTGCACATTTTAAAGTCAAGAAAGTCGCAGTTTGATGTAAAACTGTTGATGTATAAGACTTTGAAAATACGTAATTACAAAGACTACAAACTCAAAAGGCGCACATTTTCTCTCAATGAATGAAGCTAACTTTACTGAAGCTAACGTCTGTCATTTTTTCTATAGTCTTACGTTATAATCGTAACGTTACGCCGTCATGCCTGAGTGTTTTGTACCAGACTGCACACACACGAGCAGCGGATCTCGCTCGTTGTTTCGCTTCCCGGGAGATGTAGTTCATTGAGCGATTTTCACATAAAACTAAATGTTACTCTTCTGTTTTATGACAAACTGCGACTTTCTTGACTTTCATAATTATCTTTTAAATTGACAAACATCATATGTGTAATTCAGGCCACAGTTCAGACGGAATAAAAAGATAAGTTGTCTTCTGCCCTCAGCTTGTGTTTGCTTTTGCAGCGAGTTAAACAAAGGCTTAGTAAAAGTCGTAGACAGTTGTCAGGGTCAAACTTTCTTTACTGAAGCCCAATTTGTGAAACTGTAACACAAATGAACAATGATATCAAAAAAGTATATCTTACAATATTACATTCAGTTCACATAGATCAAAACAACATTTAAGATGCACATAAATCACCTTTACATAACTTAGAAGATAGCTGTACTAAGAAGGAGAAACAATCAAGCATCACAATTATGTGCCATGGGTTACATTTAACAGATCACATGTAAATCGGTCTCAAACATGTCTATAACCTATCAGAATACATGTAATCATATTTTACCACTTAGATTAGTCTTTAAACTTACAGATTGTGCCTTTTTCAAGAGCGAAACAAGAAGGATGGACGTGGATGCATCTCTACACTCTGCACCATGAGCTCTAGAATCCAAAATGGCTGATATATTATTAAAGGCGATGTACTACTTAAAGTGACCACAAGGTGTCAGTATTAACAAAGTAAACTATAATATAACCAAGGCCAGAATACTCCCCGCCTGACATCAACAGATGTCACATCAGACTTGTGGAACAGTAACAAAGTCGTCAACATTCAGATCGTTAAGCCACCTTAATTTGTGTCCTTTGAAACCAGAAGAACAACCTCAGTGACTGGTCTCAGGAAGAATCTTTGTTCACCTTTCTTTATGATTTTTACTTCAATCTTTCTGACTTTGCCATCCTCACTTGGGTAAGTTTTAGTTATGATCCCAACGGGCCAGTCATTTATTTTCTCCTGGGAATCTTTTAGAAGCACAACATCTCCATTCTGTAGGTTTGGCTTAGCTGTGCGCCACTTGCGACGTCCTTGAAGTCCACTCAAGTATTCATTCTTCCATCTTCCCCAGAAGACATTGGCTAAATACTGAACGCGACGCCACTGAGCTCTGCATAAATCGTGGTTTTCAAATTGGCCAGGTGGTACTGGTGGGGCTCCTACTTTCTGCGTGAGCAGCATTGCTGGTGTTAGTATCATTGGTTGTTCTGGATCAGTAGAGACTGTAGTTAAGGGACGAGCATTCACAATTGCACTCACTTCTGCCATGAACGTTATTAAAACTTCATGTGTAAGTCTTGCAGGGCTGTGTTGAAGTAGCATGGCATCGAGGATACGTCGGGCAACTCCAATCATACGCTCCCAGGATCCTGCCATATGTGAAGCGTGTGGAGGATTGAACTGCCAGCAGCATTGATTATCAGATAGGTAAGCTTGGATGTTTGTGTTGTGGCAACCTTGCTTGTCAATTTGTAGCTCTTTGCAGGCTCTCACAAAGTTGGTTCCACAATCAGACCTCAAGATCTTAGCGGGGCCTCTGATTGCAAAGAAACGCCGCAGGGAATTGATAAAACATGATGCACTCATTGACTCAATCACTTCTAGGTGAATCGCCCGTGTAGTCATACAAGTAAATATTACCACCCATCTTTTGGCTTCTGCCGTACATCCTCGTGTTTTCCTGACCGCGACTGGCCATGGACCGAAAACATCCAGCCCCACGAATGTGAATGGCGGGTCTATGTGTAATCTGTCGGCTGGTAAATCTGCCATGATCTGTTCCTCTTGTTTGCCTCTCAATTTGCGACAGGTGACACAGTTGTAGATGGAGCTGCTGACTGATCTCTTACCTCCAACAATCCAGTAACCACCTGCCCTGATGGCACCTTCTGTGAGATGTCGGCCTTGGTGACATACCTTCTCATGAAAGTGTCGAATCAAAAGCTGAGTAACATGATGTTTACCAGGTATGAGAGCTGGATACAGTTCTTCAGATGGTAGTTGAGCTCTCCCCAACCGACCTCCTACTCTGAGAAACCCTTCTGAGTCAATGAATGGACAGAGTTTGCTGAGAGGACTTGACTTTTGGACAGACTGACCTTGTTCTAGGCGTTTAAAGTCATCTCTGTAGACTTCTCTCTGAACAGTTTGAATAATTGTAGCTTTTGCTTGCTTCAGCTGCTCTTCCTCCTTATGCTTGTTACAAATGTGCCATCCGCGACAGACATCTCCTGACCCAGACTTGACACACTTGGCTATGTGTTGCAATCGTCCTATAGCCTTTAACAGGGAGCTCCAGCTGGAGAATCGTTGGAACCTTTCACTCCCAAGGTTTCTTTGTGACAGGCTAGTCACACAGGTAATGCACTCAGGACGAAGCTCTACATCTGTTTCAGGACTGACGAGGGTGTAGGACCTTTTTTCAAGTTCATTTTGTCTTGTGTGTAGGAGGAATGGAGGCCCCGTAAGCCAATATGATGAAGTCAGTTGCTCTGAGGGGAATCCTCTGCTAGCAGCATCGGCTGGATTAAGATGAGTGGGCACAAAGTTCCACTGATGCGGTCCCGTAGAGTGTTTAATGCGTTGTACTCGATTGTGGACATAGACGTGAAAACGCCTGGTCTCATTGAAGATGTATCCTAGCACTACTTTAGAGTCAGTGTAGAATCTCACATCATCCAGTGTTGTGTCCAGCTGTTCTTGAAGCATCTCTGCTACTTCCACTGCTAGTACTGCCGCACATAACTCCAGTCGAGGGATTGTGACATCCGGCTTTGGAGCAAGTTTTGCTCTCCCAAAGAGGAAACCAACTTCACTGAGACCATCTGGGTTAGTAACTTTAAGGTAAGCTACTGTACCTACAGCTTTAGTGGAAGCATCACAAAACACGATGATCTCTTTCTTGAGTGCTCTAGACAATGAGGTGGAGGTATACATTCTTGAGATTTTTAGTCCTTGCAGATGTTTGAGGGAGTCTTTCCATTTTTGCCATCGCTCTTGTTTCTCTTTGGGCAGAATAACATCCCAATCATCTGCATCTCCAGAGATGTCTCTCAGGATGGAGCGACCCTCAATGCTTACAGGTACTACAAATCCTAGAGGATCATACACGCTGTTGATGGTAGAAAGCACTCCTCGCTTAGTGTAAGGTTTGTCAATGATGGATACTTGAAATACAAATGTATCTGTTGACAAGTCCCAGCACAATCCTAAGCTTCGTTGGGTGAATGGTGAGTTTACACCAAGTTCGAGGCCCTGCAGCGTAGTTGCCAGATCCTCGTTCGGGAAAGCTCTCATGATGACGGGGCTGTTGGATGAGATCTTGTGTAGGCGGAGGTTGGA